GATCTTTAACGTGCGCAACTTGCACACGGGCCCTCCGAGATTTTTCGCCCTTGTCCGAGGAGGCTAGGTGTAGATCTTTCCTACCAGAAGATCAGGGGTGTGGCAGAAAGACAGCAGTAAGGAGGAGCCAAGGAGTAGCAGTAGAAAGGCTGCAGAAAGAGTCAGGAGCCCAGAGGAGGGGGCAAAGGAGGTGAGGGGGTGGGGGCAGAAAGTGGAAATGAAAGAAGACAACAGAACAGTGCTAGGGAACAGGAAAGAAGGTGAAAGGAGACAATTTTAGAGGAGAAAATTTTTCGGTCGCTACCCGGATTCGAACCCGGGACCTTTTGAATGAGAGGCCAACACCTTAACCTCTAGGCCACGAGAGCCCCCCTCTATAATCACTGCGAGTAAAGTAAAAAAAAAAAAAAAGTTGTTCCCACATCCGATCCGGACATTGGAGTTTTCCTTGTTACTGAGACAACTTCCTGGGCCTTCGGCATATTGTGGTAGGGTGGCCAGTTCCTTTCCACGCCGCCTTTACTTCCCCAACTCGAAGTCAGGTACCCATTACTGCTGGGTGGGCAGGAGGGGGCGAACAAAATTTGTGTTTGAACGGAGGCTCGAACCCGGACTTTCCGCTTCAGAGACAAGCGCACTAATCACTGCGAGACCTTTACAAAATGTACGTAAAGGACAAGATGGTGATGAAAGTGTCTCCCTCGTCTATAACAGATCTCTGAACTGTATTTTCGTCAGCATCTATTACTTTTCTTTGTATGGCCCCCTTCTACAAGTTATCTTCTTTGTCTCCCCTAACGTGTACAAGAATATATGGAAGAGGCTTGGGAGGTCAGGATCCTAGTTGGACAGTACAATATTTGTATCTTTTGAAAACAACTAATGAGCTTTTTAAAAAGTGAAGTGGTGCCCTGGTTTTGGCATTCGACAATCGAACGTGTAAATGGTGGAACATTAGAGTGCAGGCCAAGGGCTGACAGAAGCTGAGGAAAATTTGCAAAGGAAGAGCCAAATTTGGCCTTTCTGAGCCTAAACTAAAATAAAATTTAAAAAAAAGAATGAGAATCGCGCATGAGCATCGAACATAATTTCCCAGGTCTCCCAAGACACTTCCATAATACATTTGTACGGTGCTCCACTCTAAGAGGGTTGACTCCCCTGTGCCCCTGTGTTGCCTCCCCTCATGGAAACTTCTCCGTGTTTTCTGCCCCTGTACAATTCTCTATCTCTCTCTCTCTCTCTCTCTCTCTCTTTCTCTCTCTCTTTCTCTCTCTCTCTCTTTCTCTCTCTCTCTTTCTCTCTCTCTCTCTTTCTCTCTCTCTCTCTCTCTCTCTCTTTCTCTCTCTCTCTCTTTCTCTCTCTCTCCCCTCTCTCTATCTCTCTCTCCCCTCTCTCTATCTCTCTCTCTCTTTATTTATTTATATATATGGACAGATAGATAGATAGATATTATACCTGTATATTTTTCTAATTTTACCTGATTTCACCACTATGCCTCACATATTACCAAATTCAGGTAGGGACCATACATGCTTTAGAAGATACTAATAACATGTACTTACTTGCATAAAATAATTCCATCTTTCAATGCAGCTTGAAATTGGTCCACCCCAAGAGGTTCATTTGGGTTCGCCCCCTGCAACATAGAGGCACATTTATTTCATATGTGAGCGTAGGTTATTAACAATAAATTATTACAATAAACGACTATGGGGCGGAAAATATTAACAATAAATTACAATAAATGTTTATGATACTTGATATATCAAAGAAAAATTACAATTTACAACTATGGGACGTGAAATATTTATGATAAATTACAATAAATGTCTTTGGGATTTGAAATATCAAAGATAAGTTACAATTTACGACTATGGGACGAAAAAATATTAATATTAAAATAAACGACTAAGGGACGTAAAATATTAACAATAAATTACAATAAAAGACTATATGATGTAACATATTCACACTACATTACAATAGATAAAAATGCAGAATTACAGATGGGACAAAAAGTTAATGTGTGGGGGTTCTTTTTCATTAAAAAAAAGAGTTTTACAGCACTTGCAACACAATTAGGTCATAATATAGTTCTGAAGAATAGACATTTTTTTCATCAGATAGAAAGAGAGAGGGGGGGGAGAGAGTGGGAGAGAGAGAG